TGTATGCTATACGAAGTTATTACGACCGTACTAGAAGAAGTTTTTCCAGAACAAATAAACGATCTAGGATGGACAGAAACACATCAAACTCATCTGTGCATCTTGTGGAGAATGAAATATGCGCCAATGACCAGAAAACGTGTAGTGTAACCGAAAATACTGCTAGCAATGACGTTGAAAATCAACAAATGGTTCATGATTCTTTATCTCCCGCAAAAAACCGTACTAGAAGGAGTTCTTCCAGAACAAATAAACGGCCTAGTTTGAACGAAAACATATCAAACTTATTAGTACATCTTGTGGAAAATGAAATATGCGCCAATAACCAGAGAACGTGCCATGTAACTGAAAATACTGCTAGCAATGACGTTGAAAATCAACAAGTAGTTCATGATTCTTTACCTCCCGCAGAAGACCGTACTAGAAGAAGTTCTTCCAGAACAAATGAACGGCCTAATTTGGACGAAAACATATTAAACTCATTAGTACATCTTGTGGAAAATGAAATAAGCGCCAATGACCAGAAAACGTGCTGTGTAACCGAAAATACTGCTAGCAATGACGTTGAAAATCAACAAATGGTTCATGATTCTTTACCTCCCGCAGAAGATCGTACTAGAAGAAGTTCTTCCAGAACAAACAAACGGCCTAGTTTGGACGAAAACATATCAAACTCATCAGTACATTTTGTGGAAAATGAAATGTGCGCCAATGACCGAATGTGCTGTATAATCAATCTGGCTGTTGCACCACTATTTTATCCTATGGAAGAATTTGATAATTATATGATGTCCAGGATCAAGAAAGCAATTTTAGAACTTATCTTTATTGCCTCTCAGCCTGATAAACCTTTGATTTTCAACGGTTCTACAATGATTGAGGGAGCAATTGTTTTTCAATGCGCCAATGATCATACTGTTAAGTGGCTAAAAGAACTAAGTAAATTACATATAGATAACAAAGACGTTATAATAAGAGTGATAGAAATGAATCAACTTTCCAACTGTCATCGTGCTGTGGTGCGCGTAAAGGAAGACTTGAGCAGAAGAATAATTTTACAACTCCTTAACAAGCAGAATAAGGGTCTGGCAACTCACGAGTGGTTCATCGTAGAAGGCAGTGAACATAAAAATGGAAATAGCACACAGTTCGAAGTTTTTATTAAGACTGAGTCATTAAATACTTTGAGAGCCCTGAACTTCAAACCGTATTGTGGACTTGAACGCGCAATTATAGATTGTTGTACATAGATTGTAGATTGTTAACTGAAAGTTCGAAAAGAATGTAAGAAAGAAAAATATGCTGAATTACAATCCCTTGATTTTCTTTCCGTATGCAATAGTTACTAGCGAATTGACCAAAGAAACTATCATTAAAAGTCTGACATCCGGTGGTCCTGGGATAAACTGTGCAATTGAAATCGCGAGATTTCGTAAATGTTGAATGATAATTTAGGTGCATTGCGCCATAGTCTTCGCTGAAGGTGTTTTTGAAGGCGAGACACTTGTCACGCATCCTAATCGGCCACAAGGAGAATTGGAGATTGCGCTTTATCCTGCCAAGAACGATCCCGTCGATATACACGTGAAAGTGTATGTTGGACCTCTTGGTACTGATCTGTTGCAGGTATCTAGATGTCTATCTATCGTCTTAATTACTTATATCAAATATTACTATAGATTTTGTTTTTAATTATTATCTTAGATTTCTTACCGTTCCATATAATATTTGATAGGTTTTTGAAATAACACGACAGCTACCAAGATTCTGTATGTACGAATTCATACCAAAACCACAACATATGCCGGAAGGATTATCGGATAATGGAGTTATAGCGGATGTAAGTCATATATTTAGGGTTTGGATTTGGATAATGTCCAAAGTCGGCCATGGTATTAATACAAAATTATAATTTATAGGTTGCGGAAAGACCGCAGCGCATTGCCATTTGGTTAAACCAAAGTCTTATTTTGGGAGAGGAATTGGAAGTCGTGGACGGCGGATGCATCGAAATATGGCTTCGTGGGATGCGAGACGACAAAGTGCACTGCTTCAAGTCGAACGCCAGCGGAAAACTGACGATCCAGACGGACGACTCGACGTTTGCTGGCGATATTATTCAATCTCTCGCTATGTACTTAGGTGTCAGAGAGCTGAATTCGGAAGCGACGTTCCCGAAGGAAGAAACTCGAATGTTAGAGGCATTGGAGCGCGTAAAGGGTAAGACGTTTCGAGGAAAGAATAGAATATGAGACGATTTTCGTCAGTAAACAATCCACTTTTGTATCTGTTTTGACTGAAGAATTATTTCGTTATTTTTTAATTTAATTTAAAGATATGATTAACATAATGTTCTTCAGATTTGAAGGAGATCGATGCACGACTCCAGGCGGAAGCTGCAGGCAGTGCCACTCTTCTGAAGAGTATTGTTATTCGTTTAGAGGATGCTAGGATTCTCGAGAATATCGACGATATGCGGAAGGGACTGATGCAACTGAAGAACATCAATGGCGATTTAATCCGAGAGCACGAGATTCGACTGAACAGTCATCGAGAGCTTGCAGCCAGCCTGAAAGAGTTGAATATCGGTGTGCAGCGCGCGGCGAGACTTAGAGGTAAAGTTTTTATTTTTAAAAATAATCGTTATTTTGTTATTTTATTGTATTTATTTTTGCAGTCGGGAAAGCCGCTTCCAACGCGGTAGCTCGTTGCAGAACAGCGATACAGGACGAAAATCCGAAAGCTCTTGCATTGGCGATAAAACATGGCTAACGTAGGTCATCCGTCATTTTCTCATACGACAGCCGTTATGCAATATAATTATAATTTTAGAATATAATTTTAGAATTGCATCATATTTTTTTATAGAATATATCCCAAAATCACCGGTATTATTATTATTATTATTAATATTATTATTATTATTATATATATATATATATATATATATATATATTACTGATAAGATGAAAGTTTCAACATCGTGCACGTTTTTTTTTACAAATGCTTGTTTATTAAAACAGTTACACAACAGTACAATTTTTATACAACATCTCCTATGTTTACTACAATAAAATTGCATCTTGAAATAAATCTTGAAATAAATCTAACGATTACAATAAAGTCCCACGAGCGGAAATGCTAAACCTTCTTTTCGACGGCGGGGGTGACGGTCGGCGGAGAGTGTTTATGGTCCCGTCTGTGCATGCTCGCATTCTGAAGGATGGCTGTCCTGGACTACTGGGCATTTCAGTCAGCAGTCTTAGTACGTTCATAAATACGGCCGTGACCTGTCGAATGGAAATAATCACGAATTGTCATGACCGTCGTTATATAAAAGCGTGAAGGCCGAGATTATCTGTTGTTTCATTAAAAAAGAAGTATTTTTTTTAGAGGCATTATTGCGCACCGTGAACATTATCGTTTTCACAACATCTATATTTCTCCTTTTTCTATCACATGTTCACGATATGTGTAATCGATTGCTTTGTATCTCTTATAAAAAGTGATTTTTTAAGTGTTTTGAAGTATTATCTTTTTATATATGAATGAATAAAAAAGATATATATCTATTGTGTATGCGCGCTGAATATACGTGTTATTTTGCATACTTCTGCTGTTTCTTATATATTAATTAATTACATTAATCATAAAAACAAAATTATCAATGAAACTACATAGAGAAAATTATATCATTAAATATATATAGATTTTGGAGACATCGGTTTGATCAGTTAAAATTTTTTTTTTACCAAAATAAAAAATCAAGCTGCGATACATCATGCGAAAATGCATCAATTTTTAAAATATTTAATACTCGATTTTTCTTCAAACTTTAAAATTTTTTAAAAAGCACGATCCATTTAAAATTTACATCCATTTCCATATTTTAAATCTATTTCAAATAAATACAATAAATTTTTATTTTTTCAGTTTTCTTCAAAAATTTAATTAACTTCAATTCATGCAATTATCGTCGAATATTGAAATGTGATCCGTTCGTAATTGTGCTATAATGTATAGATAAACGCACAAAAATGACTTTTACTCATATCGCATATCTCGAGTGAACGAGCGATAGAGATTTTGTTTATGGCTTCACGATCACGCGCAAACGCCATGATCGCGCGGTAAACAATCGTTTAGAGAATAGTAATCTTTGTCGTGATTAACCGATAAACTAAGAGTACATCTTTATTTGTCAGATTAAGAGTACATCTACGCTTACAGCGCATTGATTTTTTCACAAGAGGATAATTTCTTGATTAATATGTACTATTTTTAAGTAATCAAGAAAAGTGATATGATACCATAATCGGAATCCGATTACTCCACCGAGGAAAGAGGATCTGTTTATTTTATTTTCTTTTTTTTCTTTTTGCTTATACGCCGAATTAATCCGAGAGAAAAAGAAAAGGAGAGCAGAGATGTTTACACACAACACACATTACCTGGTCAACCGATTCCCTCACGGAAATCTCGTGGAAAGCGTGCGCCTCGATTTCTTTTGCCCTTTTCTGGCCTTCCAGGGCAGACACCATGCGTTCACCCGGCGAACAGGAGAGATCGGCCTTGTTTCCCACAAGCAACACGACCGGCGGCACCTTCCTGCCTTTCCTCGCGTGGGATACCAAAAACCTGGAAGTGCACGGTAAATGTAACTCACGCATTTCAAACAGAAGCACACATTGTAACAAATTGCACATTGTAAGCCGCAATTACTTCGTGACATGACATTTCCTTTTTTTCTGTATTTGTTCGGACGAAGTGTGCGAGCGGAGAATGCGTACCTGAGACGAGAAGTCTCGTCGAAGCTGACCCGATCCGTTACTGAGTAAACGAGAACTATGGCATCGGCCCATCGTAATTTCGGCTCGGCGGAGCTGGCCGGATATCCTGGGGGGTCTGCTATTTCCCACGAAGATCCCAGATGATTGTCGACTCGGTAAATCCTGTCCGTGGTGCAGTCGTACTCCCCGATGAAGCGTTTCGTGGCGAATCGCACGGCTAAAGCTGTTTTCAGAATTTAAAGAGAATTATGTGACATCGAAAAGTAAAATATCAGTTGCGTGTAATATAAATCTTTCGCTTTGAAGAACTGCGTTTACTATAATACAAACTTCGCAGCAATATAACATCAATATAATTAAGAAAGCAATGTTTGTTTCTTACGAGAGATTCGCGTCTTTTATTTAAAATTTTCAATGATTTTATTTTAATTTAACGACCTTATTTTAACACATATTTTTTTTCTTTTACGTCATAATTTTTTGCTGAAACTACTCACCCGATTTGCCGACGCCCGGTTGACCCAATATGATCACTTTGACCGCCTTGGAGGTGTCCTTGTTGAGGCTGAGGCCCCAGTTGCTCGAAGGACTGAGCATCTTCTTGTTGGACGTTAACGGCAGACTATTACTATCCATGTCTCAATCGCCACTGCCTCGTCCGCAGGATGTCCCATCGATTATGAACCCTCTCGGTGTATCCGATGGTATTTAATGGATGCATTATTCATAGCAATGTGTCGCGCGCTTCTCAAAGGGTGGGCACGTAATAAACAATGTGACGACACCGATGCGTGGTGCGTCATTAATTATTATTAGAATAATTACGTAGGATCGTGTTGCAAGTTACACGAGCGTGTCGTAGCTGCGATCGACGTCACGCGCGAAATCTGTTTCAGATACTTCGGTAACTTCAAGAAGTATTCCGATCACACGCGCGGCTAGTTATTACGGATTAATTGCCGGCGCCTATCGCATTAGTGTGTGCGTGTCGTCACGCAACGACGACGATGACGGCGACGAGCGATTATTATTAATTTTACGCAAGACCCAGGGGGCGAGACTTTGGCATTTCTTTTATCGCTTTATTACGCGTGTCGACTTTTATGCGTGACTTCCGCAGATACGGCGCCGCGGCCGATCGCCGACTCGTCGCGCTACATCGCGTTGCATCGCGATCCGACGCGCTTGCTCGGAGTGTATCGCAAATAATTGTTCCGACTGTTCAACACGGTGCATTAAACGACAATCCCCCTCGGTCCTGTTCTTTCTCGAAAACGATCGAAAAGTATGCATCGGCGGCACAGAACACTGTCCCGTCCAGGCATCTCAACGATGCCGCTGCACGCGCTCTCTTCTGCTCAAGCTAGTGCACCGAACATGCGCGTCCTTTTTCTTTAGCCTTTTAAGTGAAGAACGATGTGTTAAGAGAGCTATATTTAGTGCACTTGGTCTGTCGATGCCTTGTTGGAGAAACGAAGAAAAAAAAGCTACCGAAAGGCAGTCATGCAGGAATGAGTTATTTAGTTATTTAAATTACCGCCAATGATAATAATAAACCTATAAAAAAACCTCTAAAAAAAGTATGTTTTTATTAAATATATTTTATCGAATTATCTATAAAGTATCTTAAAATAATCGCAGATTTTTTTAATGGCAGATTTTTTTATTCATTTTTAATCGATTACTCTTTAATCTCGATAGACAGTGCATGTGTTTTTCTACAAGTTATTTAACCGAATGACGACGTGCTATAATTAATAGGATATGCGCGTTATTTCTTTTTAACCCTTGCAATTTCAAGCCGCGTTAAGTTCCATCGATCATTGCATACAGGTGAGAATAAGGTCAGGATATACTTTAAGAACGCTGTGTAAAAGTCAATTTCTCACATTTATGTAATCCATTAATGTTTAAAAAAAATTTTTTGCCTCAATAACGCGTAATAAAAATATTTTACTCGTGTATTATCGACAATTTAAAATGGGAAACTTCAGAACTTCAGAACTGATCAGAAAATTGTTTCGCCAAAAATAAAAATAGGTCTCTCAGTGTCAGAAACATTTCCCTCGATATTGGATCACTGACACATTGTTCATAAATAGAATTATATTTCAGCTAACCGATAAATTTTAATTTTAACCTGAAAACTGGAGTGGGTTGCATTGACACATCCGGTTCAAGGATCGAAATTATAATTCTTCATTTGTCAGAACGTTATGTGGTTTTCTTGTTAGCGAATATAATTCTAGTTCTTCGAATTATTAATAGAGAGCTGATGAGGAATAATTAAACGAATGTGTGGGATGTAGTTGAAATAAGTATTTCAAAGCGAGTCGGAGAACAGCATTTATAGCTTAACATAATTATTTAAAGATTTTCTAATAATAAACTCATCTCACCTTTCACTTTTTTAACTCGCAGGCATTGAATTGCCATTTAATCTTATTGACATTCAGTTTTTATTTTCATCCCATAGATTTCCGTAAAATTGATAAAACTTTCGTTAAACATCGGTGGGGCTTTATTCAGCTAAAAGCTCCGTATGTTAAAAATCTACCCTTTGTCTTCTCGGAATTCCGTCGACAATTACTGGTAATCTGTACATGTTTCCTGGTATTCGGTGCGATTGATAAACTAAATATAGACTGCTCGATCCGACGGCAGTCGGACACCGCCGCCGTCGCTGTCGCGTATAGGAGAAAGGCGTGCCGCCGCTTATTGACCTCCTGCGAGTAATCCAGAGGGTTATCGTTTCGGGTGAATCCTTATCAATTATCTGTCAAAACTATCCCAAATCCCAAACTCGAAAAAATCTAACTGATCGTCGTGTCATCTCAAAAAATACAGAAAGGCGAAAGGTGTATCAGAGGTGATCGCGTAACGCGCGGATAAGATAATGGCTGGCGTGATAAAAGGAAAAATGAAGTGCGTAGAGGAGAGAGATCATTATAATTTAATTTCTTCTCTTTCTTTCTCTCTTTGGCATCGTTTTCGTAACGAACTGCAGCCCGTGCACGAGGCTGGCGGATGACACGAGCCGGCGATGCGTCAATCCGTGTGACAGGCAAGGGGCGTACCGCTACGAAGGGATATCTCCGCGACGGAATTAGCGAGGAAAGAATTCGACCGTGTCGCATCTTCGATGGCGAAAAAGTCGCGACTGCCAAGAATCGCTCTTTTCGGATAAACAACAGATGTCATTAAGCTTTTTCACGGGGACGGAAAAGAAGGCCGTGGAATTTACAGTTTCTTGAAATATCAGCACAAAGGACCGACGTGAAATAATTTGCAGCGCAATATTCGAATATTCGAATTGGTATCTGTAAGGTAGATAAATCCGAGCGCAGTTCTCATCGCTTAAAATATATTGAAAAAAATTACGGAAGATACGAGAAAGTATCCCACGGTTGAGGGACAAGTAACTGATACTTATTGAACTAAATACAGACAACGTAATTAATGCGGTAGGATCTGTTCGGGCGAGACGTATCAGCTGTCACTTTGTGGAAGACGAGGCGACAACTGATAAAGTAGCCGGTGCGGTGCTAAATTTGGCGGACAGCTGATACCGACGCACTGTTTACGAGCTAATGAGAGACAAAACACGAACACATCGTCGCGCCGCGTGAGCGTTAATAAACGCAAAACTCGTTCCTGACAGATGGATTCGACAGTTTTTCGGCATCTTCTCGTCATAATCGGCTTTACAGATCCGCTTTCACGCGTCGTACAGCAATGTGAGGCCGGTTTATAGCCCGTAACCGTCGTAATAACCGGCGTCGCGACGATGAAAAACGCTATATTTCTCGACGACGACGTGACGAGCCATTTCGGCTCTAATCCGGCGAATCCGGGTTTGTGTCAGCCGCTGCGTGATTAAAAACTCGGTAATGCTTTTCACGCGAATGGAAGGCCGAAGACTCTAATTGCAGTTCTTTGAACTATCAAGTCAATAGTTCACCGACAATCGCGACTTTTCTGCTGATGTCAAATAATTCACTAAACGTTCCTTGCACGCGACGGAAATAATGTCAGCAAATTAAATCTTTATGCAATCTTTTAGTGCTTTAATTATATACTGAGAGATTTAAAATTACATTTGCGATTATTTCTCAAATCTTTATCGTCGAGCCTTTATCAGCACGTATTGACAAGCTGATCGTTTCAACATCAGATTGTTGTGGTTATTTTTCTGATATCCAGTTTATAATTCATATTTTGATATTGGGTTTGTCTATGTTGATTTCCTGTTTGTCGCAATCGCTGCTGCGGATCTGCTGACTGTTGTTGTTCTTCTAATCAGTATAATTATAACGTTTGAATCAAAATATCGAGTTAGTGCCGACTCGAAGCTTTTGAACATGAACCGCTGATCAGGCGCATGTTTAAATGCGACGTACGTTCTGCACTGCGCTTCTCGGAACACGATCATTTGTGACCTGACACAATTTTTCCCGTTATAAAAAGATTATTGGCGGTAGCATTATGAGGAAATCTACGAGTGCGGACAGGCCTCGGTCTCTATTAATAAACGACCGGTTTGCAGAAAAAAGAATTCAGCGCCGCGTTTTACTTAATGTGCCATCAAGAAGAATTGCTATGATGATCGCAGCCCCTCATTATAATCGCATAAGCATTAAGATGTCGTTAACTTCTTCTACATCTCTTCGCAATTTCCGAGACGTTAATGCATCAGATAGCGGTGAAGTTGTGCTGCTCGTGTTAAAGCGCATGTTGTGAATCTTGCGGCGCACAGCCGCACATGGGATAGGGTGAGCTAATATCCGTATTGCAAAACAACGTGTATAATTATAAATCGGGACATTATGTAATATACATAAATTTCTTTTGCATTAGGCTCGTGCGTTCAATTAGTTGCCGGCGAAAACTGGTCTCTAATCATTTTTAGACTGATGGTATTCGCGTGCCGCTAAACCTACCTACCGTTTATCTCAACTTTCATGATAAACCTGACGGGCTGACAGTTGAGCTGCAACTGGCGTCGACGGATACAAAAAAGAGCGAAGTGAGAAAAAATTCTGTTGCTTTCTCTCGATTGCACGATCGAGCTGAACTTGGACCCTTATGGCGCGAACGACGAAACAACAGTCTGCTCCCACACAAGACGGCGCCATTCTTAATTAATCAATAGCAGTAGGAAATTTTCCGAGACGATATCGTCTATACTTTCGACCGATAAGAAAAAAATTGGTGCACGTGTCTGGAGAGAAATGCGTGTCTGGGTGCTTGTCGAGATTAAATAACACCGTCTGTTAGATAAGGTAAATATGAATATTTCATATGTTTTCGTGTCTCAACGCTGAGAAACAAGTAGCTACAATACTGAAATAAAGTTTTAGGTTTTGCGATAATAATTATCATTACAAGTCTCCGTTTTTGCAACCGTTTTTGAGGTCGAGTTTAATGAGTACTGAAATTCCGCAAATGATAACTACGATTTACCATTTCTAAGAGGCATTTTGATGTACATTACGTAACATTGTTGTAAAATATTTTCATACTCGCTTTTTTTACAAATTATCATCCTCGTTAAGAAATGTTTGGAAGAAAAAGAAGAACTTTCAAATTATCTGTTGTCGTCGCGATGATTATGCCAGCTCGATCCCAGCTCCTGTTAATTATTCATTATCATTTTACTTATTTACATCAACAAGAAATTATGTCACTTCGTACGATGCTCTCGATTTACGCAACGCAGCGCTTCGTAACGCCGGCATGCGAAAATTACGTCGCCGGCGTGAAAATCAGCGTGAGAACTCGTGACTTTTCAAGCGGCGATTTACGGAGACGGGACACGGTGTATCGAGAGTCGTATACGGTAAAATTCATTAACGGTCGTTGCAACGATAAACGGGACCCCGGTTGTTTTGCACTCGCGAAGCATGACAAGGAAAAGATTGTGGCACTTTCACTGATCTTTAACCCCCGGGAACGCTAAAAATCACGTTTTATCTTCGTGTATGGAATAGCTTAGAAGCAACTGTTTTGCGAGAAATACATTAATTCTGGCGCTCCTCGCTTTTAACCATAACAAGTTGAATTTAGCGGATTAATTAGTATACGAGATTCTTGGATATTATATCGATTCTTTAAATTCTCATAGGTGTTGGAATATTTTTGTCAAGTGCCGAAGAATTACAGGATATTTTCCCGCAACTTGGAACAACTTGGACTTTCTTTTAGTTGATTTTGTGACAAGTAACAATCTACTTGTTAATCTAATGAGAAGCAGGGGAGCAATCTTAATTTCATATCGATCAAGTTGGCGCGGAAGA